TATTATTATTATTATTATTATTATTATTATTATTATTTTATTTTTTTTTCATGTCTCCACTTCAATCTACACTCAAATGAGGTGGACGATACAGTATATTTCATGATATGAAAGTGTTTTATCATATTTATCAACAAAAAGAATTTCATATGAAAGAGATAAATAAGTGAAAAATAAAATAAATAGAAACTAAAAAGAAAGAAATAAAGTGAATAGAAATATATACTTGAAAAACAAAATAAAAATATGAGTGTTTAGAAAAATAAAAAAAGAGAGGAAAAAAGCTAAAAAAAAAATTATATTGTAATTGATTAAAATATCATTTCAATGGATTAAATGTTGATTAGAAATTCTCAACAACAAAAAAAAGTTTCTTAGAAACGAGAGTCAATTGAAATACACGATTCAATAGATTAATTAAAATTGACAATTTTCATTCTCGCTCTTTTTTTTTTCTCTCAATTTTACGGGCGCATAAATTTTTATTTTCCTACTTATCTATTTCTGCACAATTAAACAATCTCATTTTTTACACTGTTATAAAAAAATCTTTTATTTTACATTTCTTCTCCCATATTTATTTATTTTTCCTATCATTTTTATTATACAAAACATACTATTAGTTATTTTCCCCAAAAAATAGTACTTATTAATATACATTTTATTCTTTTATTTTGTATCTAATTAAAATTAATAATATTTATTAGAAAGTAATATTGTATCCTTTGTTTACGTCCAAAACCTATTTCTCACACTATCTTAAAAAAAAATATTATTATCCATATAAATAATTTTACTCCTCAAACTTCATTTAAAAATTTGTCGCAAATTCAATTATAAATTTATAACTAGACAAAGAAAATTTATTCGTATTTTATTTTCTATTTTTTGTCGCATTTTCTTTTCCTGTTTACTTGTCTAGTCCCATCTTATGATAGAAAAAATAAATAAATAAATAACGAGGCGGCTGTTAAAAGTTTTTGTCGTCTACGTGGAATTAATGCCACAACGTTAGTACGTACTTTCAGCTTTTGATTTTAGTAAGCAAAATGTTTCATCTTCCGAAACACATGAATCCAAAAATATTTGGACCATTTAATATTTGAGAAATTCTATAGTACCTATCATATTTGAGAAGGTATTAGTTTTTATATTTTATATTTTTAGTAATTTATTTAAATAATATTTATGGTATTTTATTTTTTCAATTTTTAAATTATTTATTTATTTTATTTTTATTATATATTCTAATTTATTTGTAATAATATTATTATATATTTAAATAGTTTAATTTTAATAATTTTTAAGTATATTTTTATCTTTTCACTTAA